TATTTTGATCATATGAATCTGTTTTTGAATAGATTCGAGGCGATTTGAGGCTAAGTCGAGCGACAAGGGCATTGCTGAGTAGATTTTCATCCGGTTTGAGGTAAGTAACGATTGTAAATCTAGACCTGAGGGTATAAAACTCCGGTATTTCATATTATTTTGATAAATGGGGTGACGCACATGCTAGGGGACGAGCGTGTGGGCATGCATCGGTCGGGATTGTGACTTGGTCCGTCCCGTAGTGACTATTAAGTCGCGTATTTGATTTGAAATCATATGGTATCCCATATTTTAGAGATTGATACTATATTTTGGGCTGTACGCTATGTTTGGGGCCTTGTGTCGACCTGTTTTGGCCCTCAGGGGTATTTTACTACTATTCTCACACTGTTTTGATAGAAAATATAATCTCAATCATGATTTATACCTGTTCACTGTTTATCACTCTATTTTAATTAATGAAAGATATTTTGGGCTGAGTCCCTGTGATTTGTGATGAGTTGGGCTGAGTCCCTGTTATTTGTGATGAGTTGCCCGAGTGGCTTGTGAGGATGACTGAGTGAGGCCGAGAGCCGAATTTGTGAGGATAGTTAGGGATCGGGCTGCGCACTGCAGCATTATATACATATATATATGGATCAGGCTGCTCGCCGCAATGAGGTATATGTGGATCGGGCTGCACGCCGTAACAAGATATTGGATCGGGCTGCACGCCGCAGCGATATAGCGCTTGGGCTGTAGGAGCCTCCTCGGAGTCTGTACACCCCCAGTGAGCAAAATCGTCTATTATGGATCGGGATGCACGCTGCAACGGTTACTATTATGGATCGGGATGCACGCCGTAACAGTTACTATTATGGATTGGGATGCACGCCGAAACGGTTATTATATGGATCGGGCTGCACGCCGCAGCGATTGATATATGGTACCTGTTGAGTGAGAGTGCTAAGTGTGAGCATTAACTTATGAGAGTAGAGTCACGAGTGACTGAGCGGTTTTCTCGAGAGGCTATATTTGTGAGTGATACCTTGCCTGAGAGGCTACATTTGTGAGTGATACTTTGTCTGAGAGGCTATATTTGTGAGTGATACTTTGCCCGAGAGGCTATACTTGTGAGTGATACTTTTCCCAAGGGGCTCATGTTTCTGAAACTACTGTTTTCACTCTTCTTTTACACGGAGCCTTTATTGAAAAATGTTGAACAAATGTTTTAAGCAAGTTTCATTGAAAACTGGTGTTTTTACGAAATGTTCAGAATTTAAATTCCTGATTTGATTAATTTATTTCCACTGTTGTTTATATTATGAAATTAAATAATTTTATATGCTCGTCATTGCACTCAGTCTTTAGTTATAATTATTACTGAGTTGGTGTACTCACGTTACTCCCTGAACCTTGTGTGCAGATTCAGGTGCCAGGGCTGAGTAAGAACCGATTTATTCATTTGGAGCTTATTAAGAGATTTATGAGGTAGCTGCACGGCGTCGCAATCCTGCCTTCTCCTTCTTACCATTATAGAGTTTATTTTCCAGACCTATATATTTTCTTTAGATACTTACGACCAGTGACTCCGGGATTTTGGTATTGTATCTATTATTCGGCATATCTTAGTCTGTTTAAAAATGCTTAAATAATTTTTTTATGAATTATCGATTTAGAAATGATATAAATGAAAGGTTCTTTATGTTTAGAATATTGATTTGGCTGGCCTAGTATCGCGATAGACGCCATCACAGCCGGCGTAGTTTTGGGGTCGTGACACTATATTATGTCTTTGTGAAAAAAATATTAAAACCGATATAAAATGTTCGTTGACTACATCTATTATAGCGCTAAATATAGATGAGGATCTTAAGTCTATCGAATACAGATACAAAAATATTGGCCAAATGGAAGAGACACAATTCGAATAGAATTGGTTTCATATGAAATACATGTAATTTTGGACATTAGTTCAAACACTCGAAAGTATAAAGTCAATGGTGTGTGCAATCACTTTAATGTATCTTATATGTCTGGCATGACATGAAAACTTAATGCAAATCTAAAGTCTATTTACATGGCTTATATGACATAACTTATATGACAATCCATGAATGATATTGCTTAGCATATAGAATTCTTGGTCATGAAGTACTACATCCTAAGTACAATTTGTGCACACTTCTATCTTGCTATAATTATAAGCATGATAATGTAATAGCGAGGTTTTTCAAGGTGCAACATATTCATTAAAGTTAATAAGGATGATTTATTCATCAAATCTCTGTTGACGTTAACCTCCAAGAAGCTAGTGCACAAGATTGAGATGTGAAGGCTCGAGGATATGAATTGATGCTCTAATCAGGGGGAGTTAATACGCGTTGTACTCTGTTTCCTTTACAAGGTTTTGTCCCACTTCTAGCAAGGATTTTAACGAGGCAACCAAAAGGTGTATTAATAAACATTTGTTCTCTTTTTTCTTTTCTAGAATTTTTTTTCCCATTGAGTTTTATTTTAGTTAAGGTTTTAACGAGGAACATTATCTGTTGAATAGACATTCAAGGGGGAGTGTTACAAATAGAATTCTATTTAAGGTGAATGTCTATATTTTAGAGAGATCTTAGGGATTTTACTTGGTGGCTAAGTCACTCTTTCCCTATAAATAGAGGGGTCATATTCCATTGCAATTCATCCCAAATCAATAAGAATTCTCTTTCCCTACTTTTCTCTGCATTACTTTTCTTCTTCTTTTATTGTTTTATAACAGTTTAGTTATTAATGGTCGCTACATGTTTTAAAACCCAATCACGAGAATAGATTTATTTATTCAAAACCTACTACAAAAATAGTGTGACGTAAAATGAAATTGTTAAACAGAAAAGGTTTAAATATGCCCTTGTACTATACGAAATTGAGCACATTTGCCCTTTGTTAATACTTTAGCATATATGTGCCCTTACCGTCACATAGTTTGTCCATATGCCCTTGTACTATACGAAATTGACCACATTTGTCCTTCGTTAGTATTGTAGCCCATATATGTCCTTGATGTCATGTAGTTGGTCCATATATACCCTTTTTCGAAACGGAATCCACCCAAATTAATTAGTTCTTTCGTTAATTGTACTAAAGTGCAGTACAAACAATATTTCCTTTTTATTTTACTAGTACTTTCTTTTACCTTTCTATTTTTTTTCTTCTTTTTTATTTTTATTTTTTTACTTTTTCTTTCTCCCATATCTAGTTTCCTCCATTGCTGATGCCTTCTCCATTTTCTTCACCAATTTCACTTGACAAAATTCATAAATTTATGCTAATTTTACTACTAAAAACCCCCACACGTTCTTCTGACCTGAATGAGATAAAAATCGCCGGAGAAAATTTTTTCGGCGGTGTTACTTGGGTGAAGGGAGTTTATAGTTATTTAACTTTTGAAGGTGTTGTTCACTGTGGAGCTTCCAGATCTTAAGGAAACAAGACCTTCAAAATCTGAACAACTACATACTCCTTCACCCAATGAATAATATCGAAAAAATTTCTCCGGCAATTTTTATCTCATTCAGGTTAGAAGAAGGTGTGGGGGGTTTTTGGTAGTAAAATTAGCAAAAATTTATGAATTTTATCAAGTGTAATTGGTGACGAAAATGGAGAAGGCATCAGCAATTGATGAAATCGGATATGAGAGAAAGAAAAGGTAAAAAAAATAAAAATAAAAAAGAAGAAAGAAAAGAGAAAGGTAAAGAAAAAAAGTACTAATAAAAATGAAATAATGTTTGTAATGCAATTTAGTACAATTAACGAAAGAGCTAATTAGTTTGGGTGGATTCCGTTTCGAAAAAGGGCATATATGGACCAATAATCTGACATCAAGGGCATATATGGGATAAAGTATTAACGAAGGGCAAAGTACTCAATTTCGTATAATATAAGGACATATATGGACCAACGATATCACGATAAGGACATATATATGCTAAAGTATTAACGAAGGACAAATATGCTCGATTTCATATAGTATAATGACATATTTGAACTATTTCCGATTATTAAAAGAAAAACTCGGCTGAAATATCGAGGAAATTATTACAAAGTGGGTGTCTTCTCATCTCGTTAATGGAATTTAGCAGCCTTCCTCTATTTGTCCATTACCACGTGATCATTTTATCTTGTTGACTGATTATTTAATTATGAAAATTTTAAATATTGATATTCAACTTTCTTTAATAATGATATTCCAATGTAAACAATGAAGAAAATAATGAAATATAAAAAAGCTTAAAGAATTAAGAGTACAATTCTCTTCAAGTTTGTTATCCTTTTTATTTTAGTATTACATTTTTATTTCCTTTTATTTTACTTTTACCTTTTAGTTTTCTATATCTCTGTAAATATGGAGACATTATTTGAAATTTCTGAATATAGAATAGTAACAATTAGCTTTCTGATTCAATAAATACACAGCCACAAAATTTGTCTAGTTAAATTTAATGTTGTATATAGGTTGGTTGGATAAAAATTCCAAAGAAGTCTGCCCTACGTTGAAAACTATTATTCCAAAAAATTATGACCATATTAAGAGCCTGTTTGGGCACAAATCTTTTTTCCTTTTTTCCAAAAAAAAAAAGCTATTTTTTCCGAAATCAGAATTTCTTCGTAAAATTTTCAATTTTCAATTGAAAATGCATTTTAGAAATTTTCGAAAATATAAAAAACTCCAAAAAACTGTTTTTTAAAATTTTCACTCAAATCACTCGCAAAACTTCAAAAATAAATCAAACTAAATTTTAAATCCAAACACAACTCTAAATTTCAAATACCATTTTCATTTGAAATTTTTTTTCGTCATTTTATGGAATTTTTCACTTCTTATGTCCAAACGCCTACTAAGGAATACAAATTTGGACATAATATCTCCAATTACACGTGTCAAAAATTCATTGGTTTATTTAAATATGTTTTATTAATCATGTCTCCTTCTGCTTTTGTTCTCTTCCTTTATTGTTCTTCTTTTCTTGAAGAATAAAAGGAGGGAAAAAGTAAATAAATAAAAGAACAGAGTTGTAATATGGAGGGAAATATAATTAGTGTGATCAAATATTGGATTGAAGGAGAAATTGAAATTTTTATTAAGGTATGGTTATTAATTTATGCATCACTATGTTACTGTTATTTAGTTATTAAAATTATTCCAAAAGGTTTATTTAGGCTCTTATCTTTTCTCCCTATGATTTGTTTTTTCCTTTATCTCCCTCTGAAAATTAACTCTGTTCATCTTTGTGGTAATACTGCTTTTTTCATTTCTTGGCTTTGCAATTTTAAGCTTCTTCTCCTTGCTTTTGACCAAGGTTCACTTTCTGATTCTTCACTTTCTATCACTAAATTTCTAATCCTTGCTTGTCTCCCCATCAAGATTCAGCAAAAATCCCAAGAAAAATCTGAACTTTATGTGCAAGATGAGGTTAATAGAGGTAGACTTCATCAAAATGGCCATTTTCGTAAAACCCCATTAACAAAGTCAGCTGAAAAAGTTTCTGGTGTGCAAATAAGAAAGGATTTTGACAAAAATGGCCATTTTCAAGAAACCCCATCAATAAAGTCAGCTGGAAAAATTTCTAGTGTACAAACAAGAAAGGATTTTGACAAAAATGGCCATTTTCAAGAAACCCCATCAATAAAGTCAGCTGGAAAAATTTCTAGTGTACAAACAAGAAAGGATTTTGACAAAAATGGCTATTTTCAAGAAACCCCATCAACTACATCAGCTGAAAAAAAATTTCGTGTACAAACAAGAAAGGATTTTGACAAAAATGGCCATTTTCAAGAAACCCCATCAATAAAGTCAGCTGGAAAAATTTCTAGTTTACAAACAAGAAAGAATTTTGACAAAAATGGCTATTTTCAAGAAACCCCATCAACAAAATCAGCTGAAAAAATTTCTAGTGTACAAATAAGAAAGGATTTTGACAAAAATGGCCATTTTCAAGAAACCCCATCAACAAAATCAGCTGAAAAAATTTCTAGTGTACAAATAAGAAAGGATTTTGACAAAAATGGCCATTTTCAAGAAACCCCATCAACAAAGTCAGCTGAAAAGATTTCTATTGTACAAACAAGAAAGGATTTTGACAAAAATGGCCATTTTCAAGAAACACCAGCTCCCCTCTCAGCTGCTAACACTGAAAATAACCCTTTTCAAGATGGTCATTTTCATGAAACCCCATCTCAAAAATCAGCTGAAAAATCTAGTAGTGTTCAAAATGGGAAGTATAGTCATAAAAATGGCCATTTGCAAGAAAAGCCATTTCCGTCTTCTGGAAAATGCAAGTCAATTCTGAATTATGGCATAAAGACTCTTCTTTTTGCCTTAATTCTTAGAGTTTATGACTATAGTGACTATATACACCCCCATATAATTATGGTCATTTACTGCTTCCACATATACTTTAGCTTAGAAATCATTCTAGCCATTGTATCGGGCTTGGCCCGTGGGCTTCTCGGGCTTGAACTCGAACCGCAGTTCAATGAACCTTATCTTTCTACTTCACTACAAGATTTTTGGGGCCGGCGTTGGAATCTCATTGTCACTCGTATCCTTCGCCCCACGGTATACAATCCAACTTTAAGCCTCTCCACAAACATTTTGGGCCGGAAGTGGGCCCCACTTCCCGCCGTGATGGCAACATTCGTTGTATCGGGCCTAATGCACGAGCTGATATTTTACTATCTGGGCCGGGTTAAGCCCACTTGGGAAATCACCTGGTTCTTTTTGCTACATGGAGTGTGTTTAAACATTGAGATTTGTGTTAAGAAGGCGATTAGTGACAGGTTTAAGCTGCCAACGATTATCGGGACGATCTGGACCGTTGGATTTGTTATGATCACTGGTTTTTGGCTGTTTTTTCCTCAGTTATTAAGGTGTAATTCTGATGTTAGAGCATTTAAGGAGTACGAAGCTATTGGTGCATTCTTTAAGGATGTTACAAATGCTGTCAATTCAGCATTTTTGAGACATAAACGGATCTAAAATTTTAATTCTATGAGTTCAACATTTAATGTTATGGGTTCATATTTATTATTTATTATAATTTTAGTAATTTTTTGAATATAAATTAATACTTCGCGTTGAAAGTACTAAATTCTGTGTCCGCCTCAGTTTTAAGATAACCCATAGACATAAATTTACTTACATTTAATGTATTTGTAACAAACCCATACACTCTCATAGCTAAGTTGATTATATTTCCAATGCAATATAATATATTTATTCCATTTTTATTTCTTTTATATAACGGTATTTGATCGTACATAAAATCTAAAACAATCTCAAATGCGAAATGTATCATAAAAATTAGAAGGGGGTAAATACTAAGTAAGTTAAGTGACACAAGAGCTTCATATTACACAGATTTCTTGAAACAACAGTAGTTCTCGAGATGCAGGTTCGGGATGCACATGGGGAAGCTTCATGACGATGTCTGTAAAGTGAACAATACTAAATAAAGTATTTTTCAGTTTAATTGTTTAATATCTTAAAATATATTGTAAAATCTTTTATATTAATATTAACCGATAATTTTTCTCTATTATTACTTAGGTTGATACGCTTTCTATATTGTT